CATAAATAAACCATGCAAGTGTACAACTGGCCTGATATGCTGGTATCTTTTGGTCTGAAGCACTGCCGATTGCAGATTATATGGTGTAAGACTTAAGGCAGTGAAAAAATAAAGGGAAATCCTTTCCTGGGGAACAAGATTATAGGGACAAAGATAAATAATACTTTGTGTTTATAGATTTGGAAGAAAAAATAAAGTTAACTTACAACATGATCTAGGTATCAGTGTATTTAACTCTCCCGTAAAACAAAAATAACTGAGAGAATGTAGTTTAAGCTTTCTAAAATCAACTGAATATCCAGGAGATACATGAATTTTTTGAAGGTGTATGGGAGTGAGAGAAATTGGGTCCTAAAATGGCAATTTGGGTTCATCACTTTTTAATGGTGATTACTGTAATAATTTGCATCAAGTTCTCTTGATGAATCTCATATTTTTGATGAATACCAGCATGTATCCAAGATTAAGCAGAGAAATTGTGTTTAGGAAGGTGTAAGTAAGAGTAACGCATTAATCTTTCCCATAATCAAGAGATTATACTGAAAAATCTTTGCTTACTTTGCAGTTGCCTCATTTCCCCACCAGTCCAGGGTATTCGCTGTAATATACTTCTCTTTCTTCATAACTGAAGTGGCAGTTGCTTTTGGAACTCGTGACTTTTAACATCAGTAGGTTGTCATCATTGTTGTGATTGGAGTTCAACTTTGACTTCGACTGAAATCTACCATTACATGTTTCTAATAAAATAGAATTATAGAATAGTTAGGGTTGGAAAGGACCTTAAGATCATCAAGTTCCAACCCCCCTGCCATGGGCAGGGGCACCAAACACTAAACCATGTCACCCAAGACTCCGTCTAGCCTGGCCTTGAACACCACCAGGGATGAAGCATTCACAGCTTCCCTGGGTAACCTGTGCCAGTGCCTCACCACACTTGTAGTAAAGAACTTCTTCCTTATGTCTAACCTAAACTTCCCCTGTTTAAGTTTGAACCTGTTACTCCCTGCCTATTGCTGCAGTCCCTAATGAAGAGTCCATTCAGAGCTAGCATTGCTCAGTTTTGAAAATACAGATGTTAATTGTAAAGTATTCTTTCCAACTTTACCAAGCCTCTTCTCTCATGAGAAAGATAAAATGGTTCTTTGTGAGCTGTGATCAGAAATTTGTTTCAGTTCTGAAAGACACTCTTCAGATTTCTTAAAACCAAACTGATGGAAGGAAATGTAATTTAGTTGTTTCCTTTATCAGGTGCTTTTCAATTGAGGTTTCCCAGCAGCACAGTGATCAAACCTGCCATCCAGCTGTCAATGTGAAATAAGACAGGCTTGTAGACCAGCATGCTGTGACTGCACACATAGTGTACAAGGGAGGGGACAAAAAAACCCCAGCTTTTGGATCCCCCTAAAATCCCACTGAGCTTTGGAAAATAGAATTCCCTCACTCAAGTTTTAAATCCCTGGTTTGGAAACAGAGTTCCATAATAATCTGTCTTTTGATCTGGATGTGATGTATTTCCATATAAATGCCCTTTCCAGACCCAGAGACAGATATGAGTTTATTCGCAACTAAATTATCCTGTAAAGTCTTTACAATCATTTTATTTCAAACATGCTAATTTGTCCTGGCTGAACCTTTGTGGAAAAGGCAGTGCCCATTTAATGTTTGAGTGCTACAGTCTACCCTTGTAAAGAGCCACTATGGGAAAGTTTCTCTCAGGCAAAAAGAGCCTGAAAATACTTATTTTAATGCTTTATATTTAGAATTTTAGAAATCTGTAGGTGGAAATTCCAATGTGAAAGTCTTAAAGGCCTTCAAAACTGAAAAAGAGGTGTCTTGTGTTCATTTAGTTTGGAGTACAAAATAGTATTCATATTATTTGAAAAATATATCTTTTATGGATTCAATGAATGGAGTCTCATCAGAACGCCTAGTCAAGAATTAAGGAACTGCCTACAGATTTTCCCAGTGAGGATTAACATCTGACGTAGTTGTGCCATTGCTTCAACCACAATGGGATCCTTTATCTAGGCTCACATATTTGTGCATTTCATTTTTTCCTGCAGACAGTGCTTTGTTTGTAAGGACAGCCTAACTGGATCTGTGTGTATCAGCTCTGCTGAAAAATGCAGCTATCTGACAGGTGTGAAACGTAAGGGTGTACAACAAAGCTTAAGAGAAGTGCGTGATGAGAGGGTACTGTATATGGTGACAACTAGCATTGCTGTGGTTAACTTCCATTTCATGAAAACTGAATACATGTGTTTCATGCTTCATTGATGGGTTGTAGACTTCAAAGTTAGCTTAAATTTTCATAGACAGTTGAATCTATGTGTGACTATTAATTTCTGCATTTTAAAGCCATTCAGGCCTTTTGTTCTTCTGATACGTTTGGGATTAATTTTCATTAAATAACCATGCCCATTGAATACTCCAACCTCTTTATTCATCTGGTGGATCATCAACAGACAAAGCATTAGAAATTCAATGCCTAACAGTTGGCTCTTATCTGGACTGGCTATTTTACCATCACAAACAGAAATGGAATGGCAGAACTGCATTTTGCACATCTGTCTGCATTTTGGACAGACCATCAAGACCCAAATTGTGTTCTGCACAGGCAGAGCTGAGGATCGAGAAGTTTGAATGGGGCTTTGGGTGACTTGGAAGGTATGAGCCGGCATGCCAGATGCCTGCCAAAGAAATCCAGAATCTGCATGAAGTTGGGATGAGAGAGGCTGGCGGTGCTTGTAGCCACTGTTTTAGGAAGTTCACTCTCTGCCTTGTGCCCCCTGTGCACACAGAGGCACTGTTTTAGAAGGTTGCGTGCAGGATTCACAGTCACAAGAACGCTTGGGTAACTGGGCAAGCATGTGTGCCAGCACCAAATGAGGGAAGTTCAGTGGTAATCTGGGCTCTTTGCTCCACATCATCTGCTTCCGGCCTCTTTGTCCCTCCCCACTGAGAGCTTCACTGCTGTTGACCTTTCCTCACCGATTGCTTCAAGCTGTTTCAGGCACAGCTTGAGGATGCCATCACCTGCAAGTGCGCCCTACTTCTGTTACAAACGTGGGGTGCTAAAAGCTTATCATCATTTCTAGTACTGTGTACACAGTGTTTTTCTGTAAACCTGTTATGGGAAAGGTTTTAAAATAGGCTTTGGATCACTTTGAGTGTTACATGCCCAGTAGGGAGATTATTGCAAGGAGATCTTCCTTTTACTTTCATAGCTTGTACGTGAAATGACCTGAGGGATGAAGAATTCGGAGTAGTTCAGAGGTTCCAAGTAAATTATGGAGGTACTTGCAATTCTCTGTTACATTCTTATCTGCAAACAGTATGAAAAACACTTCTGGTGTATACTAGTGTCCACAAGAGCAATGAGCAGTAGTATCATGCCTGTACTGGAGAGCAGTGCAAAGACTTCTGATCTGCTGTCAAGCTTAGTGGGACATGCCCAGTCCTGGTGTGGTGCTTGGTGCTCTGTGAAGCAGATGATTCCATAACCTGAGCTAGTGGCTGTGCTAACATTGGTGTGCCCGGGCTAAAAACCACTGCCCTTGGCTGGGTCACCTTGACCAGCTGAACTTCGTACTGGTCTGGGGATAGATCAGTAACTCTGTAAAATGTCCATGTTCTCTATTGTTTCTCTGTTGTTTCTTGTTTGCTTTTTTTACCTAATTTTAGTTTACTGTTCCTTTGCATCTATTGTTTCTTTCCCAAGCTCTCCTTACCAGCTTTTTTCTCTTTTCCAGGGAGGGAAAATACAAATATTTGAGTAGCAAAATTTATTTCCCAACCTCCCCCCCCCATCTCCTTTCTGAGCCTCTTCTTTTGTGGTTGAATTCTTAGCTGCTTTGGAGAGCTAAACTTCTGCAGAATCTGCACACATGCAGCAGTTGCATTTGGATGAGTCTCTATACATTTGCAATGTACAGCAGCACATATTAGTGGGCACTTGGAGCTCCATGGTTCAACTGCTCTGGGTCTCAGCAGACCTATATCTGTGCTGTTCCCATGAGGCTGGAGGTTGGGGTCTCGAAGTTACAGGCTTGTGGAGCACAGGCACACATGGTATTTCTCCTTTCCTTTCCAGATGTAGGAGAGATTCTGAGCTGAGCTACAATGGATATTATTGTCTCAGTTTGCCTGCAGGGATGGGTACAAGAGGAGAATTCTTGCACCCTGCAGCCCCAGTAGTTAGTGTGGGCATCAAGCACAATTTGATGAAGAATAAACACCAGGATACATTTTTCATAGGCTTGTCTTTTGTCACGTGGACAGCAAGAACTGGGCACCCAAGTCCCTCATTTGGCGTGCCGAAACTGAAACTAGAATGACAGTGACTGAAAACAGCCCTCAGTGAAAGACTGATTTTAGTAGAAAAAACCTTTTCATCTTTAAATTAGCCCTTTGTGCTAATTGATGTATAATTTGGGTTATTGTAAGTGCAGTTCCCAAAAGAAACAAGGCCCTGTGCAGTCAGGGTGAGCTTGAGGGGTTTTGTATCTCCTCCTCATTCTGCATTCTCTTGATAACAGCTGTTGGTTTCAGGTTACTAGTCAAATTTTATAGAGCAGCATGAATCTCACAAAGTTCTTAATTTTTTTGAAAACTCAAGGCAACAAGGAAGAGATTATTTCCTACTAAAGCTGTGGACTTTGAACTTAATCCTTAATAAATTTTACAGAATCTGCATCTTTCTGTCCATCGCTCACATCCGCACACACACTCTGCAGATTTGTCCCCGTTAGCTCAGGTGTTAACAAATTAACACCTCTTTCACTACTCATTTCAGCCCAATGGAAAAGGTGGTGGTGCCTTGTCAAGGCATTTGTGGTTACATTGTTATAGGTCCCAGCACGAGGGGTGTATCTTTCTCATCAAAACACCAAACAGAATTCCCTTTTCCTCTTAATTCCCTTTCCCTTTTATCTGCTGTCAATTTGGTTTTGTTGCATTGAAGAAAAAATAAATTTAAAAATATCTCTTTTGCTTTTTAGAATCAGAAAAGATCCCTGTGATGCGTGGACAGTGGTTTATTGATGGCACATGGCAACCTCTGGAAGAGGAGGAAGGTAACTTAATAGAACAGGAGCATCTCAACTGCTTCAAAGGCCAGCAACTGCAGGAGAGCTTTGATATAGAAGAACAGGCAAAACCTGTTGACAGGAAGGAGGGTAAGATTGTTTAGATTACTACTTTTATAGTATGCTCCCTGGACAGTTGTGGTCTGGTTTTCTTAATGTGATCTGTTTTCCATCCTACGTGGTGGAGAACATTGTTATAGGCATCAGTTTGCTCTCCCATTATTCAGCCTATCTTGATGTTGTAGGTTTTCCTGCTGCAGCACGTTTGATGAACACTGTAAAAACTATATTAATGGCTGAAGAACTTCTTGTTCCCATTTTGCTTCCTACCTTTTGTCTGTGTTTGAAATCTCACTTCAAACTGAAATCTCTTGATGGTGTAAGAAGAGTCAATGTCCAAATGGAAACTGGGTGTTAGCTGGCTGGCCAGCATTCCTAATGCTGCCCTAAAGGGAGTAGCAGTTTTACAGATCACATTTCATTTTCTGTTCTTGTTCAGTCTGTGAATTTATTAAAGTAGTTTTCAACTATGACAAATCTTGGGGCATTTTCATTCTGTTATGGGAGTCCTTATATTTTAATGACTAGGCTGAGGACATTCAGTTAGTGTTCCTGGAAATCTCAGTCAAATACATTTAAGGTTTTTAAGAACAGCCTTCTGAGATTACTGATGTATTATTTAATATACACAGTTGTATTGGTTGCTCAGGATAAGCATAGCACAGCAGAAGTTCAGTATTTTTTACTTTCACACTTCCCTTTTGTTTGATTTTCACTTGGTGAACAATCTACAAATCAAGAGCTGCAAGTACAAAGCCTCACAATTGTTCTGGTTGTGTTATTCTTTATAAAGCAACTTTAAACTCTTGGAACTGCAGCTTTGTACAAAGCAGTTACAGAGTGTAGGAGTGGCTGGGATTTGGCCACAAGTATGGTGAGTGAACTATATGACCACACAAATAAAAGCTTGTTAATAGATTGGGAGCAAGGCAGCATTCAAGATACTTCTGTAATTACTGTAAAGAAAACCAGAATATGATTTTCTGACTTAGATAGATTTTTCAACAGTACAGACAGTAGTTAAGCTTCTAACTCCCCTCAAAGCTAGAAAAAATCTGTGAATGTTTATTTTCTATTTCTGCTACTTTAAAAGAACTTTTCTCCTGGCCAAGCCTGCAGTGCAGTCTTCTGCTTTAACAGCTCCGTCAGGTAGGTGGATAAAATGTTGTGACAGTACAACTGACTTTTTGAAAGGCACTTTCACCTGTATTTCTGTCTGTTTGTACTGATTTCTTGTTTCAGTGCACTGGTGCAAAGCTCAGCTTTGGTAGTACAGCTGCACACTCACTGAGAGCAGTGCTGTTTGTGGTAGTGTATATGGCAAGCACATCTTTATGGCTGCTGGGTGCTTCCAGCCTTTGATAACTTAATTTCTGAAGGAGGGAAGGATGGCTTCAGTTGTACTTGGATTCTCCTTACCAAGTAAGGAAGAGAATTCAGGGTTTGTTCTAGAAAACGTCTGATCTGTGGAGCAAAAGTTTTCAGATTTGAGGTGGAGAGAGTGGAGCGAGAGATGAAAAAGAGACAATCCTGGTATTTGTAAAAACATAAAAGATGAGAGAAAGATACTCCAAATTCAGACACCAGTGCCTTTTCTAAAACTAAAGGTTTATTTTTAAAAATGCAAAACTAACAAACCCAAGCTATGCCTGCAGTCACTTCAAAATGGAATACATGTCAAGTCACCAATAACTTTCAGTAGGTTTTTTTGGTAGTAATAGGAGTTGCAGGAAAATTCTAGCTAACAGTAAGTACGAAAAGTGGTTTTGGCATTGTAACATGGCTCTCAATGCGTCTCTGATAGGCTGGCATCTGTGATTGCCATCTGCATGTGGCACTGGGATAGGCTTTACAACTTGCATTATTGCTGGTGAAGTAAACATAATTAGTTGGGGAAGTGCTGAATTCCATTTATGAATTTCCTAAATGCTGTAATTTGTTGCTACAATTGGTTGTAATTGCATGCTTCATGAAGCATATTTTGGTCCCATCAAGGTCTACAGTTAGCTGTTATTTAAGACTACTGAAAGTTAGAATAGATATTTACAAATACCACTGGGAAAAGAAGTGACTATTCAATGCTGTGATAAAGCATTGTAAATGCTTTACACCTTATCTCAGCAAAATTAATACAGTCTGCTGTAATACTCGGGCATAATTGCTTTTATGTGAACATGCCAGTTTGCATCATGAATAACAAAAACTTAGCTTGTCAACAAGCATCTTGTTGATGCAGTAGACAAACCTGTCAGCTCTTGATTTGACCTCAGCCATGCTCTAAGGGGTGGCAGTAGGCTCCTTAGTTAGGAGCATGTTCAACTTTGCTGCTCCCGTTCTGGATTATTTTCTCTTACCCAGCCTGCTAACTCAGAGCAACATATGATAGCCTGAAGCTTAGTCTCTAAGACTCTGCTCAGAATTTATTTGCAATTTAATTTGATTTATTTATTTATTGTATTGTTTTTTGGAATCTTTTCGTGCAGGAAACAGAATTGTTTCCTTCGACTAGCGACTTTACTAGGTGTTTAGCACCCTTAGCTTTTGAGCAGCCTGCCTAGTGCATTGCCGGCAATGGAATTGACCTCTCTCTGAACAGGGCAAGTGGTGCTTCTTCCCATCTGTGTGTGGAGCAATCCGCACAGGTGAGTCGATCCCTGCAAAAAATTACAGCAAGCACTACGTGCATTACCTGTGAAGCTGCTCAGCATGCAATGTCCATTTCTTCTTTCCTTGTATCTTTAATTTTGGGATACAGGTTAGGAGAGCACGCTTGCATCTAGAATAAACATTTCCCACTCCAGTGATCTGCTTTATTAGTTCTGCTTCTGGGTTGCAGTATGGTAACAGGATATCATAGAATCATTGAATACCAGGTTGGAAGGGACCTCAACAGTCAACTGGTCCAACCTTTCTAAGCAAAACATGGCCTAGACTAGATATCCCAGCACCCTGTCCAGCCAAATCTTTAAAGTGTTCAGTGTTGGGGAATTCGCCACTTCCCTGGAGAGGTAATTACAGTGGCTGATTGTTCTTTACTGGGACGTAATTACAGTGGCTGATTGTTCTTTACTGGGAGGTGAAGGGGAATAAAATGTGAAAAAAATGTGACATCACTAAGCCTCATTCGGGGCTTTTGTTGGTGATAGGATACTGATGAATAAATGCCCCATTATTAAGCAAAGCCCCAAGCAAACCTTCTCTTGAAAATGCAGAATCTGTCAGAATAGGATCTCCAGCCCGTGGCCTGTAAGGAACATATCTTTCAGTGCTATTTGGGAGAGTGTGAAGCTGTAAATGCTGAATGTAACAGGACGCATATGACAGTTTTTAAGTGAATGATGTCTCAAGTTCTGTTCTCCGTGGGGTAGCCTGGAGACCACTATTTCAGTGGGTGATCCCTCTGCTGAGAGATCCTATTTCTTAGGTTAATGTGACTTTTAGGTTGGCCATATCCAGTTGACCTTGATTTGTCTCTGGGAAGGTTATGCCCTGTAGGAGTTCACAGACATGGTTCCCAACTGTATGTACTGTTTATGAAAATTAGTCAAATTTCTGAGATTTCTGGAGGGATACTTGGTTCTGAATGTGTTGGCATATGCAACATTTAAAAGGTCAGCTATCCTGACTGGCAGTCGTTGAAGTGCAGCATGCACAGGAGGTACTGGCTGAAGTGCAGCACGCACAGGAGGATAGCTGATGCCTCCAGACAACCACAGACCAGGCAGAATGCATGCGTGTCAGGGAGAGATGCTATGCCCATGAGCCTCACTTTCTCTTCATTGACTCTGCAGAGAGCCCTGGTTCGCGAGGTCTCTAAAACCAGGCCAGAGGAATTCTGCTGAAGTTCTGATGCCAGCAAACGTTGCAGGCACATAACCCATCTCCTGAATAACTTAACCACACTCTATTTCACGTCTCATAGCCCAGAGTCTGCTTTGATCCTGGCCAAATTCCACATACTTTTTTCAGGTTAAGTACTTCATTTTATTGTTGATAGATACAGGAAAGGACATTGCTATTTTGTCTTTTGAGACAGAGCAATTGATACAGCTCCAGGAGGAAACCACAGTTAGGATGAGGAATTAGGGGTTTGCCTGCCATTTTGACTGCTTTATTGTGAAACCAGATATCTGCAGCCTGCATTTGAGCAAATCAGAAATTTGCACAAGTGCAAACCTGTATATCAGCATGTTCTGGCTTGTCATTGCATATAGTATTTTACATAATTTTTCAGGGCAAAATGAGAGTTATCATGGCAGGTGTCCCTGCCTGTGGCAGGGGTTTAGAACTGGATGCTCTTTAAGGTTTAATGCAAACCACTCTATGATATATAGTTGTATAGAGGAATAGAGCTTGGCGTTTGCCACTCAGGTCCATGCTAAAAACAGTCAGCTCTGATGACACCATAACCCCTAAATGAGATGCTGTGCTAGTGTAACAGTGTATGTGGGCTTCAAAGTCTTATTTGTTGTTCTGCCACTCTGTTGACAGCTAGACAATACTGGGAGGTTTCTGGGCCCTTACATTCATTTGTTGAGTACAATTTTTTTTTCCTTCATCCAGGTAGCACTGTGCCTTTTTTGCATATTGGCTTTGCTTGTCCTTTTTGAGAACAATTCTTTCTTCAGACTTAATGTACATAAATTAATGTAAGGTGACATTCTGATCTAATTTCATAGGTTCAAAATTTTAACTATTTGATACAAACGTCAGCCAAAATATGGAAATATCTGTGGTGTTTATTTTATCACACTGAGAATGGGTTTTATCTCTGTGTCTTCATGACTTTTCTTGTATTGCATATACCCAGTGATTGCACTTAAATATATTGCTACTGTAAAATAGTTCTATAAATATTTCTGAGAAAAACTTAGGTTATAACACTTATGAAGCATATTTGAGCTTCATATTACAGGAAGAAATATTTCAGCTGAAACCATTTTTAAAGAGATATAAAAAGGGTATCAGAAGACCTTTTTAGCAGTCAATAAACTTAAAACTTACAGAATAACATAAGATTTAGTAACTGCTTTTTATGCCTACTTAGTCAGACAGTGGACCCATCTGAAGTAGTCTATCAAAGGAGCAGCATTCTGAAGAGATTTCAGTAATATCAAGGCCATTGTAAGATAAAACAAAACCATGAACTCAGATCATAGCAGATGCTTAAAGGTTCTCAGACTAGATATTTTGCTAGCAGCGTTTAACCAGTGATGTTCAGACCACAAGCTGCTTGATGGAGGCTCAAAGTTTCAGTGTTGATTTTTCTCTTGCACTCTGTGGGCAGAGTGTGCATGCCGTGGCACTTCGCTATGGAAGGCAGCTTCTTGAGGACTTGCAGAACAGGGTAATAGTAAGATATTTTGTTGAATCTAACTTTCAGTGATTCTCTTATACTCCTTGGGGAAAATAATAGAGCTGTGCTTAAAACTGAATTGTTTGCTTTTGTTTCCGAAATGTTTAGTGTACACTTAAGAAGCATTACTCTGTTCTACCTTACACCAAGTAGAGTGATTATGCTTTTGTATGTGTAAATGCAGAGACACTTGGTGAACCTGATGGTGCTGCATCCCAGGTGCCTTTTACTGACACCTTCAGCTTTGTTGTGATGTCATAACAGTTTATGAAGAGTGAAGAAGATCAATTTGGCTAATGTGACCTGACACTTTTGCTACAAAACCCGTGTTTTAAGTGTATATGCTTTTTCAGAAAGAGTGCTTTTTTTTTTTTTTAATAATAATGAAAAAATGACAACCCTTTTAAAAATTTTACTTTGAAACTCAGTGTTTTTACTTTTAGTTCTCTACTACCTACCTTCTTCCTCCCTCCCTTCTTTGTTCAAATGGAGAGGATATAAGAATTCAGATGCTGCATGTCTTAAGCGAAAGCATCCCGAAGGTACAGTAATTGTAGATTTCTTTCTTTGTAGTACTCCTGGCTTACAAAGCTTTACATTCTAGTTTGCTTATATCAGTTAAGTGCATTAGATTTACAAGCTTCAATTTCTTGAGCTGTATTAATGCCACTTCTTCAAAAAGGAAGGAAAAGCATCATAAATACTTAAAAGTACAAGTGTTGTGAATCTTAGGGGAAAGTAGATGCCAACAGTATCATGCAGTAAACCTTATTATGATTGTTTGTGACTGTGATGAAAACTGTAAACATTTGTTTCTTATATTCTCTAGATGTGGTTTGGCTATGTCAATAAACTGAAAGCAGATTTTTAGAACAGCAGCAGGCCTGGTATAAGATAAATTATGCCAAAGAAGGAATGGAGGGTTTATACTAAGTAATGTTTTATTTGCCACTTTTTTTTTTAATAATGCATGCATCTTTAATTATATGTTGTAAATTCTATTTTACTGCAGCTTTTGTGTGAGTACTGGGATGAAATGAGACTTTGGACATCCGATATAACCAGGGGAAGCTGTACAGAATGCATGATAAGGCTGCTGTGTTGCAAAAAACAATTCTGAACTTTGCAGCAGCTGATGTTGTATAAATTTGTTTCAGAAAGTGGGAGTAGATCTTACAGGAGCCATTAATGATTGCAGAAGGCTCAGAAGTCACTGGTCTTTCTCTGCCACCATTAAAGCCAGTAGAGATTAAATTTTTACTGACTTTGTGGAACTAAACTACTGAAAACTGCACCCTTGATTAAAAATGTGAATGCATGTGATAGGTTTAGAGTTATTCTTGTCATACTATACATTATTTTAGCTCCTAGGGATATTGTAAAGTATGAGAATTTATTTTGACATGCGTATATGTTTGCCTTTTGACTTCTTTTAACTACATTTTTCTATAATTGGCTCCAAATGAAAATGCCTGAAATCATGATGTTGTAATAGTAAATAGTAAACTTCTTCCTGCCTCTTCTCAGACACTGAACTCAAATCTGTTATAGGTGAATAAGTGTAACTACTCTTTTGATCAGTAAGAAAAAACTTCTGCCTTTTATTTTGTGATGGTAATTTTGAATTTATTTTGCATAGTTTTGGGTTGTTTTTTTCTCCAAATCTTGTTCAGTTGTGGTAATGAATATGCTTGAATTAAAACATTAAAAGTAGATGCTTATGTAACAAATAGTGACATTGATGAATTGAGAGGTAGTGAAGTGCAATACAAAATTACAGCAGTGTTAAACAGCCCTTTTTAAGAGCAATAGCCTTTTTAGTGGCTTTGCATTTGATTTTTGAACAAATTAGAAAAGGTTTTCAAATCCACAGCTGTACATACCAACTGTAAATTTATGTACCAGGTTTACATACCAAAACTTCAGAGTCGTTTAAGAAAGAACAATAGCAGCCAAATTATGCTCTCAGCTACCTGCATGATATGGCAGGCTTTAGCGCAGAAGCTACTGCTTACTGATTGCAGAGAAGACTAATTTAAAAATACCTGAAAAAAAAGAAGGCAGAAAAGGTTTTTGTATGGTATGTATCCCTTCTGTGGTCTTTAGTCTGACTGGAATGGCAGAGATGGAGGTAATATCAGCAATTAGGAGTTCAAAGATGCTTTCCTCTAAATTTATTTTAGCTTGAGCATAGTCAAACTCAGGTAGAAAAGAATCACCCCATGCCTTGGTCTAGGCAGATAGATGAAAGAATGACCTGCTTTTGGCTGGGATAGAGTTAATTTTCTTCCTAGTAGCTGGTACAATGCTGTGTTTTGGCTTTAGTCTGAGAACAATGCTGATAACACACTGATGTGTTAGGCTGACAACAACTAAAGTTGTTGCTCAGTAGCTCTTACCCTGATCAAGGACTTTTCAGTCTCATGCTCTGACAATCTGGGTCACAAGAATCCAGGAGGGAGCAGGGACAGGACACCTGACCCAAACTAGCCAAAGGGGTGTTCCATACCACAGCACCTCATGCCCAGTATATAAACAGGGGGGAGTTACCCAGAAGGCCCAGATTGCTGCTCAGGTCAGGCTGGGTATCGGTCAGCTGGTGGTGAGCAGTTGTATTGTGCCTCACTTGTATTTACTGGGGGGGGGGTGGGGGGGGGGGGAGTTGGTTTGTGGTTTGGTTGGGGGGTTTTTTGCCTTTTAGTCTTGTATTCTCTCCCCTTGATATTTCCATTATTCTTACTATTATTACTAGTAGTATTATACTCTACTTTAGTTATTAAACTGTTCTTATCACAATCCGTGGGGTTTACACTCTTTCAGTTCTCTTCCCCGTCCTGCCCAGGCAGGGGGGAAGGAAGCATGAGGGAGCAGCTGTGTGGTGCAGGCTAGGTTTAAACCATGAGAAAGTATCAGGTAAAAACCCAGGTGCTTACCTTAAAAGGTATTTAATTTTAAACTACTGGCCCCATGAAATGCAGTGTTCAGGTGTCTGTCTGCACTTGGTGCTGGAGGCGTTTGGCTCCTCAAGCACTTCAGCTGGGAAGATGTTTGCACTAGCAGTGCACATGCAGTGTGTACATCCCGGCTTCTCCATGGGTTTTGTGCTATAAGGATAAAAAATAGTGCAGGTTTTCTACTCCTTGGTTATTCTCTAGTTATTTTGTCTTCAGATGAATTTCTACAGTCTAACTGAGATTGGGTTCTTCAAGGCTGTAGGAATATATATTCTATATTTTATGTTTACCTTTCCAGTTTTCATATTTAAACTTTTTAGATGGCTTTTCCCTCTGTCTTCATCTCTCTTGGTGGAACTGGAGGTTTGTGTGATGGTAACCATTGATTTCTGCAGCTGAAAGAAGTTATTTCTTGATCCCTCTCACTTCCCCTATGCTTCTCTCCTTGGTTTTGCATGGCTTGCTTGCTACTGTCTAGTGTCAGGCTGTTTTCCATCTACAGTGGGGTTATGCCTTCCACATACTCATACTGTAGGTGTCTGTCTCTGTTGGTATTTCTGAAAAACATTTAATTTCTACTTTCTGGATCAAAAGGAAACCGAAATTTGATTTCATTTGCATGGGCTTGGCCTTCAATCCCAAACTAGAAAACTAAGCAGTGTACAAAATACCTACAGTTTTCTGCAGGTAGGGAAGATGCACTTACAAAGGTGCCTTCTAAGAAAGCTGTGCATGGTGTCAGAGAAGTAGTTCATGTGAAAACAAAGCTGAAGGAAGTTGGGTCCAGAGGGAGATTCCTTTCCAGTGGTTTCATGGGAGACCCTTCATCTTCTATGCCTGATGTTCAGAGATGCCATAGTCACAGTCACGTATCAGCGAAGCTCAGCAACACCTTAGCCTAGTGCCCTGAAGAGAATCTGCAAACACAGAAAGTGTGGTTCTGAAGGACCCAGAAGGCAGAGGAATGAACATGAGTTTTCCCCTGTGGCATACCTACTGCCTAATCTGAATTCTACAACTTGGCTTCGTCACTCACTCTACATCACTTGGTGACTTCCTGACACTCTGTGACATCTCTTGGTATGAAAAGCTCCTGTGTTGTCATTTTTACCACGTCTGCAGCATGAATGAATCTTATAGGACAGTCACCATTTGTTCTGCAAGGAGAACGTAAATCACATTATCTTATCATTTCTAGGAAAACTTATCTTTGTTTCCTATGTTCAGTTTCAAAACAGCAGTGGCAGCCCTTGTTATCCCATACCTGGAAAGCACAGTTTGCATATATTGATTTTCTCATTTATTTCTTTTTAGGATGCTTATTTTCAGATTGCTGTCAAGTCCTCTCCAAAGACATTTCTTCCCACTCTGGGACTGTCAGCAGCAGAAGCTCCTTTTGGTTGGGCTCTTGAAAGTCTTGAGAATCTCTTTACAGTCCTTGGTTCAGTGTTGGCCCTCATGAAGGGGTACCTTATTGCAGGGTTCTTTTGTTTTTACCAAAAGAGTATCTCCAGTGTGTAGTGACAGGGAACCACTGTCTGCCTAGCTGTTCATGCACACATGGCTTATGGATCATTTATCTTTGTGACTGATACCAGCTGTGCAGTTCTTCTCTCCGCTGGGTTTCTGCCATGCAAATCTGCAAGAGTGTACCATTTTTCTCTCCCCAGATCTTACGTAAGGATGGAGAAAGCACAACAATATTCATCAAGTGGGGTGTCTCTGTTATTTTGAAGGGATATTTTTGCTCACCAAGAAGGCCTGGAGCTTAGGGTGATAGCTTTTTCTTTATTAGGAGGTTTCTGGTCCCCTGGTGGACATTACATCCAGGGGTCTGCAGATGAACAGACATCTCGGATATACTTTATTTACATATATATAAAGGGGAGGCAAAATCTCACCCCGCTTCAGTAAGAGGGTGGTCAGCTTGTGGAATGGATGCATTGATCCCCAGGCAGACTTTTTAAAACATGCATCCCCTGGGATTTCAAAGCAGAATGCCAACATGGAACACCCAGCTTTGTTTTGACCCAGGTGACTCTTGTTAACTTTTAAAGGAATATGCCTCCTCCTGGTTGGTGAGATAGACACCCTGGAAGCATTATCCAGACTTCTGCAAAATACTGCACTGGAGTGCATTGTGCCTTTGCAAGGCACTGTTTTTCAGTGCTTAAGTGTCTCTGCTGCTGGTTTGGACTTTGCTCTGGAGTGTACACATGGATAGGAGCTCAAAAGCAAAGCAGCAAGTGTGTTGGTAAACAAAATTTACTAAGAGTTGCAAATCAAAACTATGTCAAAATTGCGAAGTTTATAGTCTTACTGGCAAATCGGTAGGTTGAAAAGCTAGAACACGTTTTTAATTCTGAGTGCCGAGTAGAAAGGAAGCGTGTATAGTCCCAAGTGCTGTAAAAGTACATATCAGAGCTTGACTGCAACATGTTTGTCAGCAACACATCTCAAGTAAGTTTCAAGAGACAAGATTCCACTGAAGATTACTGGCCCTGTCATGTGGTGCTTGTGTTAACAGTAAACCAAAATTTTCAAGTTCCCTTTTGATGGCATTGCTAAATATGCAGAGAAGTAGTGTTAGATATTTCTTTTGCAGTTCCTTAGTGCTTGAATGGCTTGTAGTTGATTTTGATGTGCCCTTCAACATACGTGTTTTTGATGAACACCGTAGAAGTTAGTAATTTGTTCTTCCCAAGTGAGAATAGCTCATGCAGGGTAGGCAAAACCTACTTTTTTCTATATATACTTTCCAGTAGAGAAGCTAGACCTGATTCCAGAAGAGTTTGAGGATCGCTTCTCCCCAAACTGCTGTTCTTCCAGTAGTAATAAACAACTCAGCCACAGGCCTCTCCATCTCTTCCTCCACATGCTTTGGACATCGAGCACAAGACTCTCCAACCTCCCGCCCTCTTCTGTCAGCTTCTCCAAGAACATACCGCAAGAGGGGTTTTACAGAATGCAGGTGGAACAGCTCTTAAAGACCTGCCAGACAATGCATAAAAAGTCTTACATTGATCATGGAGTTGAGGATGGAGGAGATTTCAGGAACATGTGCAAGGAGTTCCCCTTGCCTTTGCCACTCAACTGTGTGCCTCTCTCAGGACATCGCGGTCTCTGTTGCATTGTCTCCAGGTCTGAAAGAGGAAGTTTTGCTGGTAGTTTACTTTCCTTCTCCAGTTCTAAATTGAGATTTCTGGTCATGGACTCACGTCTGCACCTGCAGGGATGAGTTCCTAGCTTCTTATTCTAGCCTGTTGCTACCCTAAGCTGACATGCACTCTTCAAAGAGTGACTTACTTCCTTCTCTTTTCTTGCTCTGTCAATGTAAACCAGCAATACAGTTCTAGTTATTTTCTGTGAATCAGTTACTTACTAGAGCAGAAGAGGTAATCCTTTTCTAATTCTCTTGTTTCTTACAGACTTCATTTAGTTTTTCATCAGACTATGCCAGTGCTGTCTGCCTTGGCAGAGAAACAAAAAATACAGGAGAAAGGTTACAACTTTTACCTTAATGTGTCTGGTTTGTGCTGTGGCAGAGTTAAAATATGATACAGTCATGGCTTAGGCTTTCTGAGAACGTTTTCAGATGAGTATAAAACATTCCTTTGAGTGGCTTCAGGTAGGGGACAGGTTGGAACTGTTACTGGGGGTGGTGACAAACACCCACACAAAAAAAATCCCCACAAACCAAAACAGCCCCTGTGGGTGTTTTCCGTGACTTTGGACTTTTAGCAAGACCAGTGACAGTTAAATGACATTTTTTCTTTGGTTACGGGGCTGTTGCTGCTGTCAGCTCTCCAAACGTTGCATATCCCACATTAGATGAGACCTAAGCAACAGATTTTCAAACGTAGGTGAAATCTGAATTACTTTGCTCTGCTCATTCAGGCTCCAAGCCTTAGATGAGAGATTCTGATTTGCATTATAACATGGCCATTGTGCTTAGTTCCGACAATCAGGCAGTGTCATGAGGTTGGTCCCAGAGTTCAATCAGTTCCAAATCTGGAAAACACAATAACTGCACAAAAAAACAGTAGAGCTCTTAGTGCTTTTTGAAAGAGCTAGATTCTGTTCTGTGCTAGAAATTATTCATTCAGAAGCTTTCTTGTTGAACCGCATTTCCAGCTTCTGGATATTTCTGAAAGGAAAGAGATGCAATGAAGCCTTCTAGTAATGGAGCCTTGAAAGCCTCTGTGTTACAGCAGAGTATACTCACAACCAGGGATCTTACTGTACAGACAGAGGAGAGACAAGATAGGAGGGGAATTGCTCTTTCTCTAGTGATGAGAGTACATGTGGCAGCCACCTGGTCATCTCACCTGGCTGCAGTATTTCAGGATGTGTTGTCCTGCACCCCTTGACTTTTATTTTCAGCTAATGGAATACTTTGGAAACCTACCATCCCAAGATGAGGGTGGGAGGAGAACTGATGTGAAATGTCCTCAGAGGTGGTCTCCAAACTGCTGCTTCTCCTGGTCAGATTAATCCTAAATGTAAAAACTTTTCAAGGTAAGAAGTAGTACAGATTTAGGTATAATGGAGTGCCAGATTGTAACCTGTATGTCATTTACACTGTTCTCTCTTTCTCTGAGGAGGCATTTTTCCCCTCTTACCCATCTAAATTAACTGTTGTTCCTTTTTGCTGCAGCTATTCACAGTCTGAAGTTGAGTCGCAACCATGTGGACTGGCACAGTGTGGATGAAGTGTATCTTTACAGTGATGCAACAACATCTAAAATTGCAAGAAGTGTTACACAAAAGCTGGGGATTTCCAAAGGTAATGTTTTTCAGAGTTTGTAAAGAATACTGTAAATACCAATATTTTAAATTTGTTACTGGAACAGTAGAGGGAGATTTCAGGTTTGAAGTTTTAATATGTCACTTAGCCCATTTTGGCCATTTCATTTTATACAGTAGAGTATATTAAAGTCCTTAGGTTGTTGTACATAATTGTAACTAGATGTGAATCAGCTGTGACTTATTTTTATTACGTATTTTATTATTATTTTGGATGCAGCAGTTAGCACTGCATAATAAATGTATGCAAATATTAGAGTGGCAGAGTCTAGCAGCTGCAATGTAAGAATTACAGATTCCTTTGCAACCTTAACTTTACAACCTGTGTACTTGGCATAACACAATGCATTCCTCAAATACACGATCATACTCTCCCCTCACCACCTCTTGTGATTTTTTTCCATTCATTAAACAGACATGAACTTAGAGGAGGGGTGAAGCATTTAGACAGAATTGTTTCAAGCAGGGATCCAGGCTCATTTAAGGTCAAAACCAGGAGTCATAAATCCAGCAAGGCTGAAATGGTTGGAAGAGAGGATGGTCTCTCTCAAGCAAAAGTTAGTTTATTGCCAACCTTGAAAATTGGAACTTGTTCTCTCAGTTGTGGTGCTTCTGTGCACTGCTGGACAACTACAAAAACAAGAACCATACTCATTTGTCTTGTTCCTTAGTCTCTGAAGAAACAAGATCAGGTAATAGGTTTGCCTTTAATCTCCATGTCTCTGTCCTGTAATTAATGCCCTCTTACCCCACAGGGCTCTTGGGTGGATAATTAATTAAATGTTTGCCAGAGCTTAATATAATTCCATTGCAAAAGTAGTCTGTGTCCAAAACACAATTTAGATATTGTGTAATAAATAATAAGTAAGATCTGACCTAAACGATTTGAAGGGAAAAATATCAAATAAAAGCCCACTTGGTGAACAAAACCTGTCCTGTGTAAAAACTGCCCTGAGCATTTCTGTAGTGTTTTCTTCCTTTTTAAAACCAAAAGAAGTTGGTTTACATTTTTGTGTGGAGGGGAATAATGCTGCCTTCTCTGTGACCATCTGAAGGCGTTGCTGGCCCCTTGTTCAGGTTATGCAAGGCTGTGATCCTCTATATGGGTCTGTCACTAGAGGGGGATGAAGCCACACTGTGCCAGTGGGTTTCTCAAGCCATTGGTGTAATAGTGAGAGAAAACCCATGTTTGCCCTGGGTAATTGATTTTTGGTTTGGCCACTGGACTGGAGAATGAGTGGGGAAATTTGAGGTTGGATCAGCTTGAAATAAAACATAGCTTTTCCCCATAAAAATGAAAAATTGTAAAGCTTTTCAACCAGCTCTCTTAAGTGGGTCAGAGAGAATGGCAGTGTTCACCAGGTTTTTGGGCAGTTCATTTCCATGATTCCTTCCATGCTGTGGGAGTAAGGTAGAGACACAAGGAAGTTTAATGATTGAGACACAAAGAAGAAGGGTATGGTGTTGTAAAAGTGGATGGACAGCTGTTTTCTAAAAAGTGGGTTTTGAGAATACTTCTGGAATTAGTTATCTTTACAGCAGAAATGTCCTAGTAATACACTGACTGATACAATCTAGTTGCAGATATTTATAAATACATGCTATTCCTTTATGTATGAACTTGTTTTCAAAATACTATAATATGTTGGTCTGAGAAAAGTCAAGCTTTTGTCAACTTCATAGAATGTAACTGATCTAGGATAATGTTTTTTCTACAGCTTTAAGTAGTGGGACAAGGCTACATAGAGGCTATGTAGAAGAAGCTACATTAGAAGACAAGCCACCACAAATTAGTCACATTGTGTTTGTTGTGCATGGTATTGGGCAGAAAATGGACCAAGGAAGGATCATCAAAAATACAGCTATGTGAGTGCTTTGTAGTATTTGCAATACCCATCTAGCCTGGTTATAAGGCTGACATTAACAAATGACAGCAGACCCTTTGGTTTAAGCTGTATCTTTTCCTGTTTCCTTCTGCTTCTCTTCCCCTGAGTCTTTATATTGTGGGTATACTACTTTCTATGTGAATTTGGATGAATGGACTTAGTGAGAGTAGCTGCAAGCAAGAGGACCAAAGATATATTCTGTTTACAACCAACGCTTGCAACTTTACAAAGGCATGTAATGACAGGACAAGGGGGAATGTCTTTAAAGTGACAGAGGGAAGATTTACATTAGGTATTAGGAAGAAGTTCTTCCTTGTGAGGGTGATGAGGCACTGGCACAGGTTGCCCAGAGAAGCTGTGGTTGCCCCATCCCTGGCAGTGTTCAAGGCCAGGTTGAACGGGGCTTAGGGCAACCTGGTCTAGTGGAAGGTGTCCCTGCTTGTGGCATGGGGTTGGAACTGGATGATTTTGAAGGTCGCTTCCAACCCAAACCATTCTGTATTTCAAGATTCTGTGTCTTGTAGGGGACTGACCTGTGAAGTTCTAGCACCATTGACTTCGCAGACAGAGCAGGGAGCAATTTTTCATTTGATCCAAATCAGGGGGAATCTCTGTTGTTCTGGCTAGTTGTCAGAATAGCAGGCAAGAGAAGTGTATACTGGCAGGAGAAGGGAAACAGGGAGCTAGCAGGAATGTTGGCTGTCAAATGGACAGTTCCTTCATGCAGTTGGAAGCTATTGCTGAGACTGTTCATGGAGTTCTGTGCATAGATACCAGTTGAAAACTAAAGTGTGATTGAAAGCTTACTGGATCTTCTTATTGAATGTGTACTTTGAAGACTAGCTTGCAAATGGCTTGTGATTTGACATCTGAGGTAATTCCAAAGGCCAGTTAGGAACTAGATGATCTTCAGGTCCTTTCCAACCCTAACTATTGTATGAATGGGGAGAGAAACTCCTGAGCTACCGAGACTGCTGTACCTGAAAAGATTTTTTGAATATTAGACAAAGTTGTAAAGTCATGATGACAGTGTTAATTACAGATCTGTATTGTGCAGATGTTTTAGTATTTGTTTTCCAAATAGTTCTATGTTCCATGAAAATTGACAGAAATAGGGACATACCAGTGACTCCTGTGAACATGTATGTAGAACTGGGATTGCTGATTTCGTGGTAAGAGCTTTGTGAACCTCCCTTTAAATCCAGAATGGCAATGTATGTCAGTGCTAATGTGTCATCGCTGTTGTGTGTACCATCATGTCAGCAGGCTCTTGTGTTCTTTCAGCTCGTTCTTCTGCTCTAGTGTCCTCTGGTGTGGTAGAGCATAACTTGATTTCACTGCTGTGTCATTTGTCATCTCAAAGCAACGACCTGCTACTCCTCGCTCCCCTTGTTCTGGCACTTACCTGCTCTTTTATTTGTGTTGTTTAAGAGCAAGCAATCAAACCAAAGAGAAGAGGATCCACAGCCCTTGATAAAAAGCTGGTTAGTCACCAAAATAAATGTAAAAACTTAATTTATTTCTTTTAGGATGCAATTACTTTGGAAAGGCAGAGACCCTAAGTATAAGTTGCTGGTTTAACAGCGAAAACAAATAAACCTCACATCTTGGAACTGTTAAGGTTTTCTATTTTTTCTTTTTCCCTACATCATTTTCTGTTGAACATATGTACAGGGGTTGTACGGGTGGTCTAACTTCAGCTCAGGGGACAGTGCATAGGTGTTCATGCCATAAGAAGTCCTGCTTTAACTGGCACCCCATTATGTGAAATCTTTTATCTACAAAGGAAGCAAGACTTTTTGTGCTTCAGTAGATCTTGCTCATATTCTCAGGAAATATTAGGCAGTATTTCATAGCCTTTTTAAATGCTAATTGTTGGTATAAATTGTGTATTCTTGTACAAAATCTGCAAATTAAAAAATGTTGGGGTTTGTGTTTGGGTTGGATATTTATTTCCTTTTAATAGCTTTAAACTTACCAGTAAGGAACATCCCATATGTTGTAGGAAGAGATTTTAGAAGAAATGGTTGCCAAGCTAGCACAATGGCAGCTCTCACAAGCCATACTAGAACTTTTTCTTAGTACCTTCATCCGTGATATATGTGTGTATTTTTACTTTTTTTTTTTATTCTCTCTTTTTTTCTCTCTTTTTTTTTCCCTCTTCTTTTGCATTAGGGAGACAGGAAGTCAGAAAAACCATAAGATCAATAAGGACAAGTATTTTTTGACTGCTCACATGTTAAAGCAGCAGCTAAAGATTTCAGTGGTTTTTTTTCCTTTTAAATGCACATTCTTTAATTTGAAACATGTAGTTGCAGCCATGCGAAATCTGTTAACTTAAGCCATATGTCTGCCCATCAGTGTCACCACTCCTTCCCTCATCAATATACGGATACCACCGGGTGGCAGATGTAGCAGGCATTATCATCCCTCAGAGCTCATCCTTGCCTTGGGTTGCATGCAGCTGTGAAGGACGAGGCTGTCACTTGTGATGCACAGTTATAATGTGTCCTGGTGTGGGAATCTTACGGTAGGTGTGTTCCTTAGAAATTGCTTCTGGTTTAGGCCCCAGGACATCTGGCAAGAAACATTCCTTGCAGAGAGCCTCCAGTCCTCTCAGTGGATGCTGAGACATGGATTTATATGACACTTTTCATCCAAGGCTTTTAAACTGCAGTCCGTTATAATTTGGTTGAAAGCAAGCAAACCTAAGAAACATGTCCTGAAAGCAGGTAGTAGTGAGGTGGGGATTGGTCTCTTCACTAAAGTAATAAGTGACTGGACAAGAGGATACGGCCTTAAGTTGTGCCAGGAATGGTTTAGGCTAGATATTAGGAAAAATGTCTTCACCGAAAGAGTTGTAAAGCATTGGAAGAGGCTGCCATGGGAAGTGGTGGAATCACCGTCCCTGGAGGTATTCAAAACACCTATAGACATGGTGCTTAGGGACATGGTTTAGTGGTGTGCTTGGCAGTGCTGGGTTAATGGTTGGACTCAATCTGAAAGTTCTTTTCCAACCTAAATGATTCTATGATCCTGTTTTGAGTACAACTTGCTTGAGTTTCATATGGTTGAGAGAGACAGCCAGATGCCTGGGTGAAATGCAAGATCTGATGAAGAATGGTGGAGAAAAGGAAAGGATGGCAACAGATTAAAAAGGAAGAAGAAAAAAAAGAGTGTGATTCTCTGGGGAGAGAACAGAGATGGGGTGGACTGGGCAAGGCAAACTCTGTGACATGTTGCATTTTTTGGTATGGTGCTTGGAGGGGCTCGGGTGTGGAGAAGAGAATGGTTCAGGTGCCTTCCCCTTCTACCATCCACACACAAAAAAAAAAAAAAAATCTCTTGTGCATTTTGTCTTTGTCACATATATTTATTGATGCTTCTTTATGGGTTCATCCTACCCAGGAATAAAACTTCTGTATTTAGCTCAACCTGTGTGAGTGCAACACTTTAGTTCATAGCACAAAAATGTAGCCTCACTTGAACAAGTGGTCCCAAAAGAAATAAAAGGAAAAAAAGTGCAAAAATACAGTTTATGAGCCAGATGTGGAATACTCTGCCTGCTACCCAGGCCAGTGAGAGACCCTGCCAGAGCTCATTTGATAAGCTCTGTCCTCATGTTACCAGGTGGAGAAGAAATTGGTTCAGCTCATGTGATGCATCTGTATCACTAGGCAGATCCTGGTGGTTATAGAGGTGAAAACAGAACTCTTGTTCTAGGGTGATTTAAAATTATATGTGCTAATTCAATTAAGTAATGGAGTTCAATCTAATCGTTAATGTGGCTAGATGCTATGGTTGCAGGGTGTCCTGTAAGTAAATAAATGGAAAAGAAGCATTTTATCGATGCTTGCATGAACAGGTCTTTCGTAGATGTGATATAATTCTGTTTTTCCACAGTGTAGTTAAACACATTTATTATCTAAATGTAGACCAGCAGCTGGTACAGCAAGCTGCTCCTGTCAGTGCTGATATTAACTGCAGAACTTGTCTGGGAAGAGACAGTACCTCCTCCAGGCTGGAACAGTGACTCAGCCAACCTAACGTGAACAGAATAATGCACTGTGAGCTGCTCTGGTAGCATAGGGGTGATTATTTAAGGATGAGAATAGCATGTTCTCTATTTCTGTTAATATAAACTAAGGTATTATGGCATAATATGCTTAATTGGAGAAGGGGGTTGTTTGCTGTCATGTGCAATATTCTGGCAGTAGGTTTCAGATAAGGTACAATGTTAACTTTAAAAAAAAATAATTTTGGGGTATCCTTTTACTGTACACACTTTAATATTGTTATTCGGAATATTTTTTCGCTGAAACACAATGTTTGATTTTGTTGCACTTGCGCTTCTGGATTGAGAGGGTAGGGATTGTCCTTATACATTTAAAATAGAATTTAGGAATGTTACTATCCATATCTCAAATCTCCTTTAAAAAATCCTGTTGTTTTACCTGGCTTATGTAAAGACCAGACCCTCTAAATTTCATCAGCTCCTGTGCTTGGAAAATTGAGTGGAGTAGCTGCTCTGTGTATTTCTATAGAAGCTGTAATGTTGTGACATTTCTTGGCTGCTCTTACCCTAAAATTGGCATCTGTCTGCCTCTGTCCAAATTTTCTGGTTTGATTCAAAAATTGTATTTGCCTGTGCTGCTGCTCATAGCACAGAACTTGCTGTGTGCAAGAGCAATGTCATTTTGGCATTCCATAATCACCAGTTACATTTTTATTGCAAGTCCTATTAGAAAGCATTTTAATTATGGATTACCATTACAATAATTACCTCAGAATAGCTATTTTGGTAAATCTCCAGCGGTGTACAAGCCCTTACAGAATGCAGAGCCTCTCAGAGGCCTTTCACTGCATTAAATATGTGCTGCTGGAATCAAGATTCTCTGTAAATTTTTTCCTGTAATTTTTAGCTTTTCAGATACTTTGTAGCATTGCCTATTTTCCATTTAAATGCTTGCATTGCATTAA